CTCCGACACAGGCTCTCAAGCCATACTGCATGCCTGGAGCGGGACTGACTGGGCCAGTAGCCTCGCCCTTCTGGGCGGCACAAGGTCCCATGGGGGCTGCGCACACACACAGTTCTGAGGGTTGGAGGCCTTTCGAGGGAGAAGCTGATGTGAGACTTTCGTCACTTCAGCTTCTGGTCTGACGGGTCAGGGCTAAGCCTCTTGCTCCCTGCTCTGAACATCACCCTGGGTTCTGGCAAGCTTTCGGAGGTGGACACTCTCAAACTGCCTGGACGGTTCCCAGAGCTCACCCTCCCAATAGGAGGCGCACAACCCGGGCACCTCTGAGGGCAGTTTCTAAAGGGCTGGAAATGTGCCCCGTTGGAGATTTGGAGGCGCTCTGTGGCTGTGGTCCTTGAATGAGCCTAGAATATGGTTTCATGGTCTCAGCATTCTTGTAAAGCTTTGAGTCTAAGGTTGCACTGTGTCAGATCAGCTGGGCTATCGCACACATGGTTCTAAGGCTGCAGGTTTCTAAATTCTATGGTGCTAAGTTAGGACGTTTTTAAAAATGGATCCTGAGGTTCTAGAATGATCCTATGGCTTTAAGAAGATCTCGTAGTTCGAAGATGATTCCACAACTCTTAAGATCTCATAGCTCTAGGATGATCCCTTGGTTTTAAGAGGATCCCCTGGGTCTTAGATGATTTCGTAGCTCTAAGAAGATCCATCAGCTCTAAGCTGATCCTGTGGCTCTAAGGCCATCCCCTGGTCTAAGGTGATCCTATGATTCTAAGGTGATCTTATGGCTTTAGAATGATTCCATTTGGTATCAAGTAATCTCATGGTTCTAAGACGATTCAATTGGACTAAGATGGTCTAGAGCACTGGTTCTCAACCTTCCTAATGCCCACGACCCTTTAATACAGTTCCTCATGTGGTGGCAACCCCGTTGTGTGGGTGTATCTGCATGTGGGCGGACCCGCCAGGAGACGGATAGAGGCGCCTTGACCCCCAAAGGGGTCGAGACCCCAGGTTCTGGTCTACGATTTTAAGAGGGTCCCATCACCGTGCCTTGTTTCTAAGCAGGTTCCATGGTGCTAAGTGGGTCCCCCGGCTCTGAGGTGACCTCATGCTTCTGAGGGGTCCGATGGTTCTCGGGGGGCGCCACAGGTGTGAAGTGACCCCATGGCTCTGAGCCCAGGGGAGTGTAAGCTGTCTGGAGCCTCGGAGACTGCCCTGATTAGAGAAGGGGAACGTACAGGAGGGACACTGCAGGGGGTTCACCCAGGAGGAGGGCCTGGCTTACCTGTTGTGGCCGGAGGGGGGCCCGGTGCAGCTGCTCCGGCCCTGGCGAAGGACGAGCTGATCTGTGTGCACAGAGCATTGATGCCATCACTGTCGCTGGGGGCAGGAGGCTCCATCTCAGGCACTGGAGAGTCAGGGGAGGGAAGGTCAGTGGCCCTGCACCCTACACCCCCAGACCCTCCCTCACAGCCGGGGGCCCTTTCCTCACCAGGTGTCTAGGTTGGGGGACCCCCTCTATAATAACCAAGTAGTCATGGCCACAGAAAGGAGCATTCCATACGTGTGTGAGACACTGAGTGACACCACAGTCAAGTTTAGTGGGTGACATCTGCTGGCTGACCATGGTGGGTGGAGTAGGTGGGACCCAGAACCAAGGTCCTTCAGGTCTGTGTGGCCACAAGCCAGAAGAAATACTAACAATGGTTACAGATGGAATTGTGCCCTGCAAACGTGTTATAAATGCTAACCCCTCTCCCTGTGGCTAGGAGCCCTGCTGGCATCATGGCTGCACACTGGACTGCTAGCGGCAAGTTCAGCAGTTTGAAACCACCAGCACCTCCGAGAGACAAAGACGAGGCTTTCTACCCCCTGGGAAGAGTTCATCTCAGAAACCCACAGGGCCAGTTCTACTCCCCGGTCCTACAGGCTTGGAATCGCCTCGATGGCCGTGAGCCTTGAGGTTGAGATCTGTGGTTAGGAGCCCTGGTGATGCAGGAGTGACCTGTTGGGCTGCTACCTGCAAAGGCAGCAGTTTGAGCCCACCGGCCACTCCCTGGGGGAGAGATGAGACTTCCCGTCTAGTGTGGCCCTCTCAGAAACCCACAGGGCAGTCCATCGGGTCCTCTCGGGTCAGGATGAGTCAGAGTGGACTCCTGGCAGTGACTTTGGGGTTCTGGATGCCTGTGGCTAAGATCTCATCTGGGAAACGGGCTTGTTAGGTTCACGACAGGATCCGTGTTGGGTGTGTCTTAAATCAATCTCCTTAGAAGCACAAAAGAGATGACACAAACAAGTGAGCCAGCAGAGATGGGGGAGGGGAGCGGCCAGGAAGGCCACCCGAGAGCCAAGACACAGAAAGCAGCTAAAACAGAGACAAAAACACACCCCCTCCAGCCCCCCACCGAAGCCCTCCCCTCCAGCCGGCAGCTGGAGTGTCAGCATCCCAAACAGTGGGAAACGGTTTAACTGTTTGTTAAAGCTGGCCCGTGTGCTGTTGTGCTATAGCAGACAGAAATGAACCGGCCAGAGTGGACAGTGGGGGCCGAGGGGGGGCGGCGGGGCGGCGTACTCTGTTGTTTTCTGTCCCAGGATGCTTACTCTTCCTTTGGATGGGGCCCTGTGCACCCCACTTGGCCTGGCCTGCATGTCAGGAGCACAGAGCGCCCGCGCCATGCAGACTGCTCTGTGATGGCCGCAGAAAGGGTTGTGGCCGGCCAAGAAACCGCCCAATCGTCCATTGGTAGCCAAGTGTGATGTGTGATGCAGGCCCGTGCAAATGGTTGCCTCCAAGGAATGGGGCTCCAGGAGTCAACAGGTGTGAGGAGGGCCTGCCAAGGGGGGCACGGACCAGAGAGTGGCTGAAATCCAGGTGTGTGGCCAGGTGGTATGCGACTTCTGATGCCTCAGCAAGGCATTAGAGGTTGGGATTTATAAGCGTGACTTGTGGGTGTCAAAGGGGTTATGGGGGCTGTAACTGTGTATGAGCTGGTGAGTGTCCCTGCACACGGACACTCGGGGCATTCGGAGTGTCCATGTGCAGGGATGGCCTGTCTGGGTGAGTCTCCACGGGGACATCTGGGACTGTGCCACCAAGTGCATGCAAGACTGTAACATCTGCGTGTGTGACTGTGTGTGTGTGTGTGTGTGTGTGTGTGATCTCTGGGTGGACAAGACGCTTTGACACCGGGTGTGTGACAGACATCTCTGGGGTTACTGAGTGGGAGATTCCTGGGTGTACGAGACACTGGGTGTGTGATGACTTCCGAGCATGGCTGTCAGTCACCTCTGGGGTGTCCATGACTCTGAGAAGGTGGCTTCCCGGTGTGTGTGGCCCCTGTGTGAGTGTGGCAGCCGTCAGTCTGAAACCCCTCGGCTGAGTCACCTCAGACTACAGGAGTGTGAAATCTTCCGAGAGAGCCTGGGGCCGGCCGCCTCTCCAGAGGCTTGGGGGCTGGGCCCGCGCACGTCCTTGCTGTCAGGCTGTGATGAGTCTGATGTTGCTCTGAGGGTGGGTGGCAGCCGAGGGACGCTGCAGGGCAGGTGCAAGCGGGCGAGCATACGTCATTCTCAGTCAGCGCTGGCAGCTGCTCAGTGGCTACCTCGGGGAGCAGCCCTGCCTCCTGGGTACAGACCAACACCTCCCACCCTGAGGCCCTGAGTGTGTGATGGCAGAGTGGGTGGATGGCAGCAGGGGAGGCAGTCGGACCACATGATGTCCTCGACTGCTGAGGCTCCCTTGAGCACAAACATGGTCCCATGCCAACTCTCCCTTGTCCCTTGCCCATGACAGGCACTGCCTGTAGTGTATGACAGATGCCACTTCTCTCATTCGTGGGACTCCACCGATAACAACAGGCTTGGAATGAGTGGCACACACGTTGGCGCTGGTGGGGGGGGCGGGGCGGGGAGGCCTGGCATCTACTGTTGTGGAGAGGGCAAAACCCCCCGGGGCCCTCTATTCGACTCAAAAGCACGCAGTTTGGCTTCCCTTCCTTTGCTGATGGCTGACATCACTGATCAAACGTGAGCCTTTGCCCAGTGAGCTCTTTGCTCACTTCCCCGTCTCCTCGCCAGACGCCCCCAGCTCTACATGACCAAGTCCTGAAAGGGAGGGCAGGTGCTTGTAAAGCCACGGCTCCTTCAAGCCAAAGAGGGCATTTGCTGCCTTTCCCAAGCCCCTGCCACGCAGTGCTAATCAATCACTAAGTGCCACCTCTCCTGGAAGACGTGGCTAATCAATCACCACGTGGACTGCCTTTGCCTAATCCCTTGCTCACAACAGATGCGACAAGCCCATCACAGCACTCCTGGACCCTTGTGTAAGTCCACTCGACCCCTCAGTTCTTGCTTCCACTGCCAATTATGGAAGCCTCCCATCCTAAGGCTCTTGCTGTTGACTCTTCAGCCTTGCCCATGGCAAACTACTAATTAGTCGTGCGGTCAGCAGCTGCTCTTAGTCTTGCTCATGGCAGACATTACCGTGAGATCACAATCTAAGCCATGGCTCTCTCTAAATCCCACTGCTCCAGGCAGACATCATTATTCCATTACAATCCTTCTTGAGCTGACGGCCCTGCTGACTGCCTCGGCCTCTGCAGAGGCAAAAGCATCACGTGTGCTGTTTGTAGGCTTCCCTGTTCCCATGGCAGCACGCCCTGCCATAGCATACATTGCTAATCAGCCTGATTTGCGCTACCTACCCTCTAACGTGTGCACAGCAGACATTGCTAATCGGTCATGATTTGCGCTACCTCTCCTCTAACGTGTGCACAGCAGACATTGCTAATCGGTCATG